GATGGATGGATGATTGATGTATGTATGTATGTATGTATGTATGTATGTATGTATGTATGTATGTATGTATGTATGTATGTATGTATGTATGTATGTATGTATGGATGGATGGACTGAGGGATGGATGGATGATGGAGAGATGGACAGATTGATGGATGGATGGAAGGACAGTTAGAACTAAGCCGGTTGCTTCTGGGAGACGTGCGCTCGGCTGTTAGCGTGCAGCTCGGTGATGTCACGTCTGGGGGAATGTCTGGTGTCTTGTCATGTCTTGATTACCTATTGTGTACACCTGGGGTTCCCCTCCCTCATGTGTTTAAACAGTCCTCGTTTCCCATGTCCTGTGCCAGTGTGTTCTGTCACAGAGGGTGGATCTTAGCGAGGACTCAGTCGCGGAGATTGGTGAAAAGGGTTTATTTTAACAAAAACACTTAAAAGGAGTGGATGGCAGACATGGTTAAAAAACAAGGCTGTGAGAAAACTATGGACAAAGTAGCAAGGCAAATTTAACAAAACTGTGGGAAAGTATCAAAGTAAGAGTAAACAAGGCTATGGCAAAAAGCAATAAAGTTAACAAGACTGTGGGCAAAATATCAACGCAAGATTAACATGACTGTGACAAAACTTGGCTGTGACAAAAACATGGCAATGGCAAAGTGCGAAAATCAAAACCTTACGTGGCAAGGGGTGACGAAAACAGAAAGACGAAACAATGACGAAAACAGACTGGCACAGGACATGGGAAACGAGGACTATTTGAACACATGAGGGAGGGGAACCCCAGGTGTACACAACAGGTAATCAAGACATGACGAGAAACCAGACATTCCCCCAGACGTGACAGGTGATGCGTGAGCGGCTAGCAGAGCCTCGGCTCCGGCCCATTAGTTTTCCCAGCATCCTTCTGGGAGAGCCCGAAACTGGGCTGATGGACTGCATCAGTTCGCCCACATAACAAACCATTTGTTATCTCTGACACACTCCAGACTTATGGACTGACTGCCTCTCGGAGTTCGTGTCCGGCACCCCCTGACGGGCGCCGTTTGGAGAAAGTTCCTCCGTTTTTAGGGTTGACATTGGGGAAGATCATCGTCTCCGTGAGCGGAGTCGGTGACCCACTAAAAGTCCTTGACGCGCAAACAGACTCACAAACGTCATTAACCTGCTGCCACTGTGACAGGTTAAAATTATTCAAATATTTTAAAAGTTGTCCAAACACAAATTACAATACACAGGTTTAAAAGACTGATATTTCAGTTAAAAACCAGTTAAAAATAATTCGTATTTCATAATTATCATTTTGTTATGATTGTTTAAAAGTAATGGTAATACAGTACTAAAAGTATTAATACTATGTACACTATTTACAATTTCTCAAGAGTTCGATGGTTCGTAGATCGATTGCTTCTGACCAGCAGAGAACTGTGTCTTGCGCTTGCGCAGAAAGGTTTCGGTGTTCTTTTGAATAAAGTTAAATTGAGTGAAGACGTCGGCAGCATCTCAATTATTCATTTTAACCCAAAAGCAACCACGTACCTCTCCCAAGTTATCGGAGCACATGCTAGCGTTGTGAGGACAACCATGAACCTCGGTTTCAGTGTGCTACATAAAATGAAAAAGTCAAGTATGAAGAGAAAT